TGTGTGTGTGGCAGACCTTTGAGTCGAACTAGCTCATTGTGACACTTCTTTCTCAGGTTCATCTCTTTCTTGTACTTAAGCAGCAGCTCCTGGTTAGTACTGCTAACCTCACTAATCACCTGACAAATCTGATAACAAACATAGAGGAGAGTGAAAAAAAAAAAGAGAGAAAACAAGAGAATATAAAACTCAACCTTTATTTTTGTGAACAGAAACCTGTTTCGAATTGAATCACTGTAAATGTCCTTACTATCGACCACTGACCTCATGCTTGGCTTCAGTGATGGCTTTATCCAGCATATAGGGAAAGTGCTGCACCTGTCTCTTCAATGAGTTGTAGTCACAGGTCAGGGTTCTTAGTGCGGGCTGCAGACTCATAAGGTTTATTCGAACACCTAGGGAAAAAAAAAAAACAACAATAAAATACAGCCTAAGTTGTAAACACAAACACACAAAGTTGTACCCTAGTACGCAGTTCGACCTGCCAGGTTTTCGTGGACGGCTTTCATCTGGCTCTCAGCTCGCATAAATGCCTCCTCGATAACTTTGTTCTTCTCCTCCTCCAGGTTCTGCATCTCTACCTCCAACTGACCTTGAGCCCGCTGCAGCTCTTCTTCATACACCAAGATCTGGAAACACGTGTTGATATAGGTATTAAGTGATTTAGGAGCTTGTGCATTATTCAGTCGCATTTTCATAGTATTGTATAATTGCATTTGTCACGGTTTGTTGTTATCTAGTTCAGTTATTTCTTTCTTTAATAAAATGCAAAAGTGTCAGATAGCCATCCATCCATCCATTTTCATCCACTTATCAGTTACCGGGTCTCAACGACCGCCACCCAAATCACACTGCACCATACCAACCACCCTGAACCTTCCTGTGGGTGGAAGGTACCAACCGCCCTAACCGGGATTCGATCTTGCCCAGGAGGTGAACCCTGGGGTTCCACACCAATGACAGAGACATTGGGCCAAAAGCGCCACAGTGCCAGATTTTTTTTTTTTTCCAATAATTCTTAAGTACAGTAAACCCTTGTTTTTCGCGGGGGTTACGTTCCAAAAAGAACCCGTGATAGGCAAAATCCGTGAAGTAGAAATCTTTATTTTTTTTTACAATTAAATACTCAGAAAAAGAAGAGAAAGAACGAAAAAACCATTATAGTTGCAACCCTTTTTGAATCCTTATTAAAACGTATTGCTGCTGTCTTCCTTATGTTTTTTTCTTCCTTCTTTATGGAACGAACGGAAGATTCATTAATTCCATAATGCCGACCTACAGCCGCATAGCTTTTACCTTCATTTAGCATGTCCAATAGTTCTACTTTATCACCGATAGACAGCATCTTTCGCTGCCTTTTGGTCCCTACCGCAGGTACTTTTGCCGGTCCAGAGCGTTTTGTCGACATTATGGGGTTTGATAAACTCGAAATTGCAAGAGAATTTGCACGTACGAAATGTCAATTTGGCAAGCTGTTTTACGTACGTGTACATATTAAACCGCAACGTTATTGGCGCACAGGTAGAGAAGAAGCGGAGTGACTTTTTAGCCAATCAGAATGCAGAACACAATGCACGATGCAAATCCGTGAAGTAGCGAAACCGTGAAAAGTAAACCGCGTTATAGCAAGGGATCACTGTACATTTATTATAAGGGTAACTGTATCAGTTTGAACTAAACCTTTTTGAAACAGGCATTTCTTCTTCTATTGTCAGTGTAATATCACAGTTCATTTTATATGCTATACTATTCTGTATAGGAAGTCAAGTTCAAAAGAAATCCTCAATTTGAGTCTAATATGCTGTCGGAGAAGGCTTGAAAAAGCTGTGTATGTGTTTCCGTGGTTTTCCAATTTTCTCCCCCGATCCAAAAATATGCAAAGATAAGAGTTTGCTCTAAATAGTCACTTCTGTTTATTTATCTTATTAAACACATAGGTAGCTGTGGAATAATCACAATGAGTGATCCCTCATCAAATCCCTAAATTTGGCAATCTGTATTTTGCTGGAACAGAAAGACTAACTGCAAATTTAACAACTCTATCCAAATATCTGGAATTGTCAATATGAAAAAAAAAAAAAAAAAAAAAAATCAAGAAGAATTTGCTACATGACGGTATCTCAAAATGCGGGAATAAGGCCGTAACAAAACATGAATTCCGGATACTTTCTGGAAGCATTTAATATAAAAAAAAACAAACAAAAAAAAAAAACAACAACTACTTTAATAGTAGTAGTACTACTACTCTTACCTGTGTCCTTAGCTGAGCACAGTTTCTCTGGGACTCATGCAGCTGGGTCTGTAGCTCCCTAAGCAGCTGTCTCTGGCCTGAGACCTGCTCCTGCAAGGCAACATTCTTTGTCTGCACCTCAGCCAGAGCTCTGTGTGAGTCAGTTGGGTCTGCTTTCACCGTTTGAGTCACAAACTAAAAAGGAATTCAATAAATAATAAATTCAAACGAAGCAGCACAGCACTACCACATTCAGCTAAGCGCTGTAAATAAAGATGATAACTGATTGCTAATGTCAATGAAGTAGCATTGTAGTACTTACACACTCTTGGGGAGCCCGAGTTTAACCAATCACATGTGTGCCATAGTTTGAGAACCATTATATATTATATTTTAATACCAAATATGGCTTTAGGCCCTGCACTGGACAAAATCTATTTTGTTCTATTATTCTTAAATAAAAAACTATATATACATATATATATATACATATATATATATATATACATATACATATATACATATATACATATGGGGGAGTAAGTATTCATTCTAATAAGTATTCAGGTGGTGTATTGAGATTTCTACTTGGACTTTTGGTGTGACTGTCTGGCGTATGTGTGACCTTAATGATAACAGCATTCTTTAGATTACTAACATAAAAAAGTTACTCATTTAGTGTAATGAGTACACATTCGGTAAACAGCAAAAGTCAAAAGTGTTCACATCCCTTGACTGTGGTCTCTTCTTACCTCAACCCTAGGGGGTGCTGCTCCTTGTCTGGCTAGTTCTTGCTCGCACTGTTTCGATCGTAAAGTGGGTTTATGCTCAGCTTCCCCCTGCCACTGCCCATAGTCCTCCTGCTGATGGGTGGAGTCATGCAGCTGCCACATGAGAGAGTCCACTCTGGGGCTTTTTCTTGGCATATCTTGCTCCAGGTCAGCCAGTGACCTCTCCCTTTGTTGTGACTGACTCTTCGAGTGGAGCAACTCCCTCCGCATTTTTTCGGCATCCTGAAAATAAATGAACGTGTAACATAATGAAGATTCATGGCAAACACTTTTGGAGTAAACTGTGCTCAAAACAGTATGTGTGAATATACCTGGCCTTGAAAGAATTGTCTATACCTGTGTTTTTTGTATATGGTTGGAATATTTGTTTACACTTAGTTAAAGGCATAGGTAAAAACAGTTTTTGTATTTATGCTTTATATTGTCATATATATAACAGGATCATGTTTCCAAGAGCAGCTCTACTTAAACCCAGAGCATTACAATACGTAAATAAGTGCGAGGATGGGAGGTGCATTCAAGAGTTACTTTAAGATGCTCCTGTTCTGGTAGTTCCCAGTAGCTCACTGGCTTACACCAGCGTGTAAACGACCTATCAGAAGAGCCTGGATTGTGTTGTGCAAGGTTGTTGATATTTATCTTAATTTATTATTTACATACTGTATATATCGAATGTCCACAGCAAAACCTACCGAATGCTCAGAGAAGAACTCCACCACACACGGCAAAATACAAATGTAGTAAAACAGCAAAACACAGAACAGTCACATCAGATACAATAATAGGTCACAACAAATTACATTACTACATCCTCCCCCTCCCAACATGTTACAATATTATTTATATTTGTAATTTTTTAAGTCCAATAAAAGCAAATTCTCAAGTAAATGAATAATTGTTTTAAATAATCACGATTTATTTTTCGACGGTAAATGAATAATTGTTTTAAATAATCATGATTTCTCCTTTTCTTTTCGACATTTTTCAGGGGTTGCCACAGCGAATCATTGATTTCCATATTGCCCTGTTCTCTGTATCTTCTACTCTGACACCAACTACCTGCATGTCCTCCTTCACTGCATCCATACATCTCCTATGGTAGCTCCATCTCTAACATTCTTCTACCAATGTATCCACTGTCCCTCCTCTGCACATGTCCAAACCATCTCAATCTGGCTTCTCTAGCTTTTTCTCCAAACCTTCCTGTCTGTGTTGTCCCTCTAATGACCTCATTCCTGATCCTGTCCATTCTTGTCACTCCTAAAGAGAATCTTAGCATCTTTAACTCTGTCACCTCCAGCTCCGCCTCCTGTCTTCTGCCTATTGCTAGTGTCTCTAAACCATACATCATGGCTGGGGTCACCCCCCTCCTGTAAACCTTTCCCCTCCCCTTAGCTGACACTCTTCAACATGTCCCGAGTCATCTTTGCAGAAAACTCAACCCCGATACATCAAACAACAGGTAGGCCCCTCAAGTGAAACCGGCCACTTGTGTGTCTTACACAATCCCCGTTTCGTATCTTAACACAGGTAAACACAATATCCTTTAGGTCAGGGTGTGTCAACCTGCTTGTTTTTCTGCAATAACTCTCAGTTCACACCCTGATTTACTGGGTATGTATGTATGTATGTATATATGTATATATACTATATGTATGTATGTATATATATATATGTATATACATGTATGTATATATGTGTGTATATGTATATATATGTATGTATGTATGTATGTATGTATGTATGTATATATGTGTGTATATATGTATATATATGTATATACATGTATATATATGTGTGTATATATGTATGTATGTATATATATATATGTATATACTGTATATGTGTATATATATATATATACATACACACACACATTTTTTTGCAAACTAGCGCTGCAGAATTGGCAATTAGGTGCGATTACAATTGTAGACCATACAATGTATATTTTTAACTAATACCAAAGTTACAGGTGGTGTATTGAGATTTCTACTTGGACTTTTGGTGTGACTGTCTGCATATATATATATATAAATATATATATATATGCAGACAGTCACACCAAAAGTCCAAGTAGAAATCTCAATACACCACCTGTAACTTTGGTATTACTTAAAAATATACATTGTATGGTCTACAATTGTAATCACACCTATTAGACAATTCTGCAGCGCTAGTTTGCAAAAAAATGTGTGTGTGTATGTATATATATGTATATGTATGTATACATATATATATATACACACACACACACATTTTTTTGCAAACTAGCGCTGCAGAATTGGCTAATAGGTGTGATTACAATTGTAGACCATAAAATGTATATTTTTAACTAATACCAAAGTTACAGGTGGTGTATTGAGATTTCCAAGAGGATTATGACTATTTGATGGTTGTTCAATTATTAACTTCTGACCAAAAGCATTTGGTCCATAAAATGGGTGTCTTGTTGAGTGACACTATAATGTACATTTTGAACAAGCAATAATTTAAACATCTTAATGATGAAGAGACAAATTGCAGATTAAAGAAGTGAAACAACAAATTGATGACAAAAAAAAATGTACGTTCTAATATAAAAAAATTAGAAGAAGGCATACATTTGGAAAGTCAAGAGTCTTAACAAACACTAATAAGTCCTTTTTTAAGGATAAAATTTAAAGTAAAAAAACTATAGTTTTGAAGTGTGTTCAATTCTAAGCTTAACTTAAGGTGGTATTTGGTAGCTTCAAAGCTTAAAAATAGTGGAATTTCTACTACATGGTGCAGTGGTGGTTAAGGAAACAGCCTTGGGTCCAAAGGTTTCAGGTTCGAATCCATAGGCTGCAAAATTACCACTGAGGTAATGCAGAGGTGCAAAGCAACAAATTACAAATACTCTCAATATTGTAATTGAGTCATTTTTGTAATTTGCAACTTTAAGTCGTTTTGGGAATAGGTCATTTTACTTTTACTTGACTACATTATGACTTAAGTATTTTACTTAGCTACATCTGAAAAGAACCGATTACTAATCACAAAAATATAAATGGCGGGAAAAACAAACTGCGTTGATTGAAAAAAAAAAAAAAAAAAAAAAAGGCTGGCGCCGCACAGGAAATGGAGATTGAGGATTACCAAGAAGAGAGCTCCCATGGAACTGATGACTCAGAAAGTGAACAAAATCCTTGGCCAAAACTCAGCAAGTTCTTTGTTTTTGAACGCAAACAAGGCAATAACTTTATTATGCGTTTCCCTGGCGGAAAGAGCTGCTAGCTTTTAAAACTTCGGCCATCAAACCTGCGAAAACATTCGTCGGTAAGCAGAGTATCTGTGCTTTTGTCTGTGTATCCCAAACAATAGTGCAAAGACTAAAAGTGTTTGGTCTGTGGAACCTATTTGGCAAAAACAGGTCAATCAGAATAAAGCCATGCATGAATAGTACAATACAACATGCACAGTCTCTCTTTTCTCTCCCTACTGTGTGAACAATGCTGTCAACATCACACCCACTTTGGCTGCGGCGAGTGCTGTGTTTCACTGGCTTGTTCCAAATTCCAGGAGTTTTTTCCCCACCCTTAAATCGTGCGCATCATAATTATTTTAATAAATCTGGGACTGTGGGAAACTGTGTTGTTAATAGTTGGATATAATTGGAAGGGTGAAAGACAAAACAAAAAAAAATTCTATCGTACCCTGGACGTAACCTAAAAGGTACGCACATTAATTCTTAATTCGTCCACATTTAAAATAAGCAGATAAGGCGCAACAGAATATGACCTGATGTAAAACTGAACAATTTCAATGTAAATAGGTTTCTGTAAAACCAACAGCACCTGTGGATTATATGGCCAACATGAAAATACCAACAGCACCTGTGGATTATATGGCCATCTGGGACGAAAACATGAAAATAAAAAAAAATAGAAATACGCCACTAAACAGATTCTGCATCGCAATCCAGCAGGTGGCAGGCCAACATCCTTTCTCAGCACTATGATTAGCACGTTTCTGAAACACATTGCAGATGGCAGAAAAGCAGACCGGCCTTTGGCCCGATCTCAGATTTTCTGCAGTTGGTTGACGATATGCTCTAGCGGCAGACGACTCAGTCAGACTTGTGTCAAAATGTTGAAAAGTAATTGTACTGTTACAAGTCACGATATCTTTGGTTAGCTGAAGTTTTTAGAAGCCCTTGTGACCCTCTCTCATCCACATTCTTGTGAATTTCCCCCACTGTGGAATGAGTGAAGTTCTTCTTCAGTCCTAATTCTTAAGGAAAAGATCAGTAGGGAGTGTGACCAAAAATGAAGCAGTTCACTTTCCCCCAATGAGCTTCTCGATTTGTATTTTTTACGTAATGTTTTATATGTTAGATCAGGATGATTAACAATAAAGCTAACGATAAAAAAAAAAAAATTAACGTTGAGTTGGCGGTTTATACTACAAACACAAAGGATAAACCACAAGATGTACACACCTGGCTGTAAGGGCAGTGGCTGCAGTTGCACGTCTTGGCTGCAGCATCAATGTTATGTGGCTCCAAACACCTCCATGACTTTAGCTGCTGCTTTAGCTGTTCATTTTCCACCACCAACAGCTCCAGCTGCTTCTCCAGGTCTGTTGCCCCCTACAGGATCAGAGGATTATAACAAATAAAATCCTATAGCATGGATTTGTATTGGCTTTTATCCAATCCAATTGCACAGGAAACATTGTGACATTGTATTTTCTTTGTAAGGACATTTTTTGGTGCAAGTGTGACTGTGTGTGAGAAATAAAGGCTGTCTTGTTTGTGGCTCACCAGTTCTGAGCGAAGTCTCTCCACCTCCCTCGTCCGATCCAACAGCTTCACCTCCAGCTCTTCCACCTGCCAAAACATATCAACAGACTGAGGATAAAAAAAAAAAAATACATTTTACACTACCCATAACATGTCCCATTTTTAAATTATAAATGTTTTAAAAACAGTAATGTTGTGACTGCATTGCTAAAGGCTAAATTAATAGTAGCGTGCTTTGACTGAATGAAAATCATTTTTATTTATCTGCGTAGGTCAGTCATCCAGTTCATTTAATCCAAAAATAGTTACATCAAGGGCAACTGGACAAAGAAGGTTTTTTTTTTTTAAAGACATTTCACCTCTCGTCCAAGAGGTTTCTTCAGTTCAGAAGAAGCCACCTGGATGAGAGGTGAAACTAATGAAAACATTTTTTAATTAGTCAAACTTTTGGAGTAAAAGTTTGTTAACATCACATCTGAAGCCACCTGGATGAGAGGTGAAACTACTTAAAACATGTTTGACTGGTCAACTTAAAAACTAATTCTCTCTTGATTGGGATTTATGCTGTGAACTTCAAAAAGGAGTTCATAAAAGTCAAAACGCTTCATTAAGAAGTCATTGCACATTGTAATTGATGCGCAGTAACACAGTCTAGGAAAAGTCATTGTATGACAAATTCTAATAAGTACGTTTTTATAATCTCATGGTAGATTGTTTTTACAGCTTCCCTGACCAGTAATTCAGCTTTTGACATTTTTCTTTGTCATCTGTTGTAAAGTGAGAACTGGCTGCAAAAGGTCAAATTCTTTAGAAACTTAAGTCTTTTCGCTTCACAATTCCGCTTAACTGATTCTACAGTTTCATTTGATTGGTGGCGTATTTGAAAAACACAAAGTTTGGAGTTGTTCGTTTTCATGTAACTTTGATTTTGCCAAATGCCAAATGTGTTTATTAAAGTGTTAACACATTTTTAATGCATCTTATTTCCTAACCCCAATGAGAACCAACAAATTAACTCATATAGAAAAAAAAAGAAAAAACTTAAGTGATTGTGATGATTCATTCAGAACCTGTAAATTCTCATCAGTTCATGACCTTGAAGTTACAACCTAAATTTTAACAGCAAGTTGCTGCAACTGTTTCCACCACTTTTCCCCCCACAACAATTGCTGATTGCGTACACAGGACATTTCTCTGTCATACCTTTGCGCGCAGCCGTGTAGTCAGCTTTTCGTCAGGGCTGACGAGTTTACTGTAAGAACGTTCCCCTACATCGACACCAAAACACATAAAGCACACGCACGTAATGGAAATGTAAAAGGCATACGTTATAACAATTTGAAAACATTTTCCTCTTGTTTGTCATTTTAGCTCTTGAGCTTTTCCTCCCACCGTTGGTCTGGGCTATCAGCTGCTGCTCCTCCTCCACACCACTGACTCGTTCATCTTCACCGAGACCTTGTTCACACAATCTCTGCTGAACACTCTGCTGTTGTGGAAGAAGGCAATGAGCAAGTGCCTCAGAGTCTCTGCAGAACTGAAAAATGAAATGGACAGCATCGTACGCTGTTACCGAGCCAGTCTAATAATTCCATTGATTTGCGTAAGTCTGGCTCCCCCCCCTGGATGTCATACAGACCAAAGGCCCTTGTAAAACTTCCATTATACACATGTTTTTTCGGGTCCTGAGGCTATTAAGTGACCACAAGGAAGGTTCACATTTAGGGAAGTAAAGGTAGACAAGATAGATTTAGGGGCTTAGAGGTTGGGGACTGGACCAAAAAAAAAAAAAAAAAATATCCCTAGGTACTCAAGCACCCACAACTCCACATACAGAGGATTGTACTTAATGAATTAACTTCGACATGAAATTTCTACTACAAGATGAGCGTATGAAAACTCCAATGGCTGTGCATTAAGGATTTTCTTTTCAAAAGCTCGGACAAAAACGACATGGAAATTAGGCAGGTGGGCTATTTTGCATAAGTGAGCAGATTCTGCTGCAAATAAGAAGCTGTCGCGAATTGATTATTTGACTTGGAGGGTTATGTCAATTTACATATCTTTACTGACACAATCAGTCACCAACCTAAAACTTTGAACACCTCAGTATTCCGATGCCAGTATTGGTTCCAGTAAGTATGTTCATGATTAAAATGATCAACATTTGACATGTTTTTTTTTTTCTTTTAGAGGAAAACAACAAAACAATGAAGTCTCTGTGATACCTGAATTAGATGCTGCTGGTTGGATGTGTTTTTGTTACTCAGCTCTGAAGTCAGAGATTGGCGTTGCAGGGAGGCAGCAGTTGGAAGTGACATAAAAGAGCCATCATCATCACTATCGCTCATAAGGAACTTCACTGAGCTTGCTGTGGAGACATAGAAGTCGTAGTTAAAAAAAAACAAAAAAAAAAAAAACAAAAAAAACAAAAACAAGACAAGTTGAGGCAACTGCTCTGCATTCGTTTAAGGAAAAAGTGTAATATACCGTATTTTCCGCACTATAAGGCGCACTGACTTGCTGACTGTTTTATTTCGCTTAAGGAAAGGAAAGGAAAGTGATTGTGACATACATACACTGCACACAACGAAACTGTGACCTCTGCATTTAACCCATCACCAAAGTGAACAGTGGGCAGCTTTTTGAGCAGCTGGGAAACAGTGTGTGCCTTGCTCAGAGCACCCCAGTGATAGATCATAGATATATAGGAATAGATAAGAACATTTGTGAATAAACGGCTTGGTCCACATATGGGAAAATGGTTACCGTGATTTCCGGACTATTGAATAAAATATAAGCACCTACAAAAAAAAAAAAAAAAAGTGTACATACACTATATTACCAGTTGGTACAAAGGCTATCAAGGTTAGCCATTCTTAGTCAAATTTTTTTTTTTTTTTTTTTTTT